TGCTGATGCTGATGCTGATGCTGATATGATGCTGATGCTGATATGATGCTGATGCTGATGCTGATATGATGCTGATGCTGATGCTGATGCTGATGCTGATGCTGATGCTGATGCTGATATGATGCTGATGCTGATGCTGATGCTGATGCTGATGCTGATGCTGATATGATGCTGATGCTGATGCTGATGCTGATGCTGATGCCGATGCTGATACTGATGCTGATATGATGCTGATGCTGATGCTGATGCTGATGCTGATATGATGCTGATGCTGATGCTGATGCTGATGCTGATGCTGATGCTGATGCTGATGCTGATATGATGCTGATGCTGATGCTGATGCTTATATGATGCTGATGCTGATGCTGATGGTGATGCTGATATGATGCTGATGCTGATGCTGATATGATGCTGATGCTGATGCTGATGCTGATCCTGATGCTGATGCTGATGCTGATATGGTGCTGATGCCGATGCTGATGCTGATGCTGATATGATGCTGATGCTGATGCTGATGCTTATGCTGATATGATGCTGATGCTGATGCTGATGCTGATTTGATGCTGATGCTGATGCTGATGCTGATGCTGATGCTGATTCTGATAAGATGCTGATGCTGATGCTGATATGATGCTGATGCTGATGCTGATGCTGATGCTGATGCTGATATGATGCTGATGATGATGCTGAGATGATGCTGATGCTGATGCTGATGCTGATATGATGCTGATGATGATGCTGAGATGATGCTGATGCTGATGCTGATGCTTATGCTGATATGCTGATGCTGATGCTGATTTGATGCTGATGCTGATGCTGATGCTGATGCTGATGCTGATGCTGATTCTGATATGATGCTGATGCTGATGCTGATGCTGATGCTGATGCTGATATTATGCTGATGATGATGCTGCGATGATGCTGATGCTGATGCTGATGCTGATGCTGATATGATGCTGATGCTGGTGCTGATGCTGTTATGATGTTGATGCTGATGCTGATGCTGATGCTGATGCTGATGCTGATGCTGATGCTGATATGATGCTGATGCTGATGCTGATGCTGATGCTGATGCTGATATGATGCTGATGCTGATGCTGATATGATGCTGATGCTGATATGATGCTGATGCTGATATGATGCTGATGCTGATATGATGCTGATGCTGATGCTGATATGATGCTGATGCTGATGCTGATGCTGATGCTGATGCTGATGCTGATGCTGATGCTGATGCTGATATGATGCTGATGCTGATGCTGATGCTGATGCTGATGCTGATGCTGATGCTGATATGATGCTGATGCTGATGCTGATGCTGATGCTGATGCTGATGCTGATACTGATGCTGATATGATGCTGATGCTGATGCTGATGCTGATGCTGATGCTGATATGATGCTGATGCTGATGCTGATGCTGATGCTGATGCTGATGCTGATATGATGCTGATGCTGATGCTGATGCTTATATGATGCTGATGCTGATGCTGATGGTGATGCTGATGGTGATGCTGATATGATGGTGATGCTGATGCTGATATGATGCTGATGCTGATGCTGATGCTGATCCTGATGCTGATGCTGATGCTGATGCTGATGCTGATGCTGATATGGTGCTGATGCCGATGCTGATGCTGATGCTGATATGATGCTGATGCTGATGCTGATGCTGATGCCTATGCTGATATGATGCTGATGCTGATGCTGATGCTGATTTGATGCTGATGCTGATGCTGATGCTGATGCTGATGCTGATGCTGATATGATGCTGATGCTGATGCTGATGCTGATGCTGATATGATGCTGATGCTGATGCTGATGCTGATGCTGATGCTGATGCTGATACTGATGCTGATATGATGCTGATGCTGATGCTGATGCTGATATGATGCTGATGCTGATGCTGATGCTGATGCTGATGCTGATATGATGCTGATGCTGATGCTGATGCTTATATGATGCTGATGCTGATGCTGATGGTGATGCTGATATGATGCTGATGCTGATGCTGATATGATGCTGATGCTGATGCTGATGCTGATGCTGATGCTGATATGATGCTGATGCTGATGCTGATGCTGATGCTGATGCTGATATGATGCTGATGCTGATGCTGATGCTGATGCTGATGCTGATGCTGATGCTGATATGATGCTGATGCTGATGCTGATGCTTATATGATGCTGATGCTGATGCTGATGGTGATGCTGATATGATGCTGATGCTGATGCTGATATGATGCTGATGCTGATGCTGATGCTGATCCTGATGCTGATGCTGATGCTGATATGGTGCTGATGCCGATGCTGATGCTGATGCTGATATGATGCTGATGCTGATGCTGATGCTGATGCTTATGCTGATATGATGCTGATGCTGATGCTGATGCTGATGCTGATATGATGCTGATGCTGATGCTGATATGATGCTGATGCTGATGCTGATGCTGATATGATGCTGATATGATGCTGATATGATGCTGATACTTATGCTGATGCTGATATGATGCTGATGCTGATGCTGATATGATGCTGATGCTGATGCTGATGCTGATGCTGATATGATGCTGATATGATGCTGATATGATGCTGATGCTAATGCTGATGCTGATGCTGATGCTGATGCTGATGCTGATGCTGATATGATGCTGATGCTGATGCTGATGCTTATGCTGATGCTGATATGATGCTGATGCTGATGCTGATATGATGCTGATGCTGATGCTGATGCTGATGCTGATATGATGCTGATGCTGATGCTGATGCTGATGCTGATGCTGATGCTGATATGATGCTGATGCTGATGCTGATGCTGATGCTGATGCTGATGCCGATGCTGATATGATGCTGATGCCGATGCTGATGCTGATGCTGATATGATGCTGATGCTGATGCTGATGCTTATGCTGATGCTGATATGATGCTGATGCTGATGCTGATGCTGATGCTGATATGATGCTGATGCTGATGCTGATGCTGATGCTGATGCTGATATGATGTTGATGCTGATGCTGATGCTTATATGATGCTGATGCTGATGCTGATGGTGATGCTGATATGATGCTGATGCTGATGCTGATGCTTATGCTGATGCTGATATGATGCTGATGCTGATGCTGATATGATGCTGATGCTGATGCTGATGCTGATGCTGATATGATGCTGATGCTGATGCTGATGCTGATGCTGATGCTGATGCTGATGCTGATATGATGCTGATGCTGATGCTGATGCTGATGCTGATGCTGATGCCGATGCTGATATGATGCTGATGCCGATGCTGATGCTGATGCTGATATGATGCTGATGCTGATGCTGATGCTTATGCTGATGCTGATATGATGCTGATGCTGATGTTGATGCTGATGCTGATATGATGCTGATGCTGATGCTGATGCTGATGCTGATGCTGATATGATGCTGATGCTGATGCTGATGCTGATGCTAATGCTGATATGATGCTGATGCTGATGCTGATGCTGATGCTGATGCTGATATGATGCTGATGCTGATGCTGATATGATGCTGATGCTGATGCTGATGCTGATGCTGATGCTGATATGATGCTGATGCTGATGCTGATGCTGATGCTGATGCTGATGCTGATGCTGATGCTGATGCTGATGCTGATACTGATGCTGATATGATGCTGATGCTGATGCTGATGCTGATGCTGATATGATGCTGATGGTGATGCTGATATGATGCTGATGCTGATGCTGATGCTGATGCTGATATGATGTTGATGCTGATGCTGATGCTGATATGATGCTGATGCTGATGCTGATGCTGATGCTGATATGATGCTGATGCTGATGCTGATGCTGATGCTGATGCTGATGCTTATGCTGATGCTGATATGATGCTGATGCTGATATGATGCTGATGCTGATGCTGATGCTGATGCTGATATGATGCTGATGCTGATGCTGATGCTGATGCATGGGCGGAAGAGGGAATCCCACGTGACAACACACACACACACACGCATTCACAGCACTGCACCAGGATTATGCCCCCTCACATAGCCTCTCACCCCCTCACATAGCCTCTCACCGCCTCACATAGCCTCTCACCCCCTCACATAGCCTCTCACCGCCTCACATAGCCTCTCACCGCCTCACATAGCCTCTCACCGCCTCACATAGCCTCTCACCGCCTCACATAGCCTCTCACCGCCTCACATAGCCTCTCACCGCCTCACATAGCCTCTCACCGCCTCACATAGCCTCTCACCGCCTCACATAGCCTCTCACCGCCTCACATAGCCTCTCACCGCCTCACATAGCCTCTCACCGCCTCACATAGCCTCTCACCGCCTCACATAGCCTCTCACCGCCTCACATAGCCTCTCACCGCCTCACATAGCCTCTCACCGCCTCACATAGCCTCTCACCGCCTCACATAGCCTCTCACCGCCTCACATAGCCTCTCACCGCCTCACATAGGCTCTCACCGCCTCACATAGCCTCTCACCGCCTCACATAGCCTCTCACCACCTCACATAGCCTCTCACCGCCTCACATAGCCTCTCACCGCCTCACATAGCCTCTCACCGCCTCACATAGCCTCTCACCGCCTCACATAGCCTCTCACCGCCTCACATAGCCTCTCACCGCCTCACATAGCCTCTCACCGCCTCACATAGCCTCTCACCGCCTCACATAGCCTCTCACCGCCTCACATAGCCTCTCACCGCCTCACATAGCCTCTCACCGCCTCACATAGCCTCTCACCGCCTCACATAGCCTCTCACCGCCTCACATAGCCTCTCACCGCCTCACATAGCCTCTCACCGCCTCACATAGCCTCTCACCGCCTCACATAGCCTCTCACCGCCTCACATAGCCTCTCACCGCCTCACATAGCCTCTCACCGCCTCACATAGCCTCTCACCGCCTCACATAGCCTCTCACCGCCTCACATAGCCTCTCACCGCCTCACATAGCCTCTCACCGCCTCACATAGCCTCTCACTGCCCCACATAGCCTCTCACTGCCTCACATGGCATCACAGTACCTCCCATGACTCACCAGCATGTATTGCAGTGGCGAAACAAGTGCATGGTACAGCCATCTCAGGCTGTCCCTCAGCTGCTGGAAGAAGCGCTGCATGCATGAAGGAAAAGGGGGTGCACGCATGGGGACGTATGGGGTTGCGGTATGGGAGGGAGGGAAGTAGGATGAGGAACAGCACGGGTTGGGAGGGCATGGTGGGAAGGCATAATGCAGCAAGAGGCACAGCCCAGCCCTCACCTTGACTACGACGTGCGTGCGGTAGCGGCCTCGGTGGTATGGCATGAGCACCGGAGGAACTTGCGCCAGCTGTGGTGACACCAATGGCTCCAATCTGCACGTGACACGTGGCACGGTGAGAGGGGGTTCGAATGACGAGAGCACACGGCAAAGGGCACCTCGCATGCATGCAGGCACAGCAATGGTCATTTGCAGGCCACAGCACCACACGTGTGCAACCCACCACTGGGACACTGACCGGTAGGCGACAGGGTCGTGGGGGTGGAAGATGTTGAGCACATGGCGGCATGCTGGCAGCTCCTCCTGCACTCCCTCCATGCCCCAGTACCGCGCACTGTTGCCGCCTGCTGCTCATGCATGCAGTGATTGGGGGGGAGAGAAGAGTGGCACATGCCTGACTGATGTCCGATCAAAACACTAGCCTGAACCTCATGTTGAGTCGCCCCATCCCAGCTCACCCCCCTGCACCCGTCCTGCTCAACCACTCGCACCCATTTCTGCCTCACCCATCCCTGCCTCACTAAACTCCCCCCCCTCTCTCTCCTCACCGCCATCGCCGAGGCGAATGTTGCGCAGAGCGAGGAAGAGGCCGAGGGGCGACCCCACTGCGAAGAATGTGTCCACCTGTGGCCGCGTGGAGGGGGGTGGGGGCGGGAGGGAATGGGTTGTGGAGAGGGGGTGATGAGAGGGTGAGGGGAGCAAAGAGGATGAGGAGAGGGGCAAGAAGCAGGGAGGAGGGCGAGGAGAGCAGCTCACGGGGAAGAGCAGGCGGCCGTAGCGTATGGACGGCGCATGTTGGCGCGGCGGCGCCCGCGGTGATGCTGCTCTCTCGCCGCCTCTCCCATGTGCCCGAAATCCGCCCCTACCCCCTGCTGCACCTGCCGCAGCCGGCCCTGCTTTTTCCCTTGCAGCGCCCTCCCTCCCACGGCTCTCTCCTCTCTCCCACTCTCTCTCATCCAACCCCTCCTCCTCCTCCATCCATGCCTCCCCTCCCTCCACAACCCCTTCTCTCCCGCTCAGATACTCTGGTCGCTCACTCGCACTGTACTGCAACCCCCCTCCATCTCTCCCCCCATCCGCCACCTCGGTCCCAACCTCTCCCAGCGTCCCCCTTCTTACCCTTCCGCCCTCCTCTTCCCCCACTTGGTGCGCCTCTCCACCACTCTCCACAGTACCAGCTGGACCACCCATCCCCTCTGCACTGCCCTCTGCACTGCCCTCTCCCCCCCTGCCCTCCAACCCACAGCTAACCACATCTCCACTCACCCCTCTCGCATTCCCACCAGTGGATGCAACCCCATGCAGCCCCTCTCCCCCATGCTCTCGCCCTTCCCCACTGCCTTCCCCACGCCCCTCCCCCGCACATGGCCCATCGCCCTCCTCTGTTGCTACCACCACTGCTACTTGTGCGCATGCCACGCCCCACTCACTACCCTCCTCGTCTTGCCCACATTCCCCATCGTCCTCCCTGCTTCTCTCACCACAATCCCTGCGCCCCTCACAACCCTCCCTGCGCCCCTCACAACCCTCCCTGCGCCCCTCACAACCCTCCCTGCGTCCCTCACAATCCTCACTGCATCCCCCATAGCCTCCCACTCCACCGCCATTACTCGCCACCTCCACCACCCCCCCTGCCTCCACTCCTGCCTGTGCCTCTGCCTGTGCCTCTGCCTGTGCCTCTGCCTGTGCCTCTGCCTGTGCCTCTGCCTGTGCCTCTGCCTGTGCCTCTGCCTCACACCGTGCCTGCCCCACTGCTCCACCCACTCCTTCCCCACCTTCGAACCTCGCTGTCCCATCCACTCCTCGCCCCAGGCGTGCTTCACACCCCTGTGCTTCCCCACTCGCCCCAGCCCCAGCTGCATCATCAGCATCAACTGCAGCAGAAGCAGCGAGCTTTTCCTTCCCCTCCACCCTCCTCCTCCTCCTCTGTCTCCTCGTCTCACCCACCTCCCTGCCCCTCCTCTCCTTGCTCTTCCCTCTCGCTGCTCCCTCCTCCACTGCACCCACTCCTCTTCTCGACACACCCCCTCCACCATTCCCACCTCCCTCCCTTCCGCCACTGCCCTTCCTTTTCCTACCTCCTCGCCCCTCCCATCCGCATGCCCCCACAACCACACCCTCCTCATCCTTCGCCTTCTCCCGTGCTCCTGCTACCTGTTCCACCCCTCCCGCCTCTGCCCGGCTGTCTATGCTGCCCTCAGCCCCGTCCCCCATCAATACGTCACCAGCCCCCACCGCGCATACATTGCCAGCAGGGGCAGCATGAGGAGAGCTGGCAGTGGCATGAGAAGGAGGGCTCAACGAGGGGCTGCTGGCAGGGCAGCAGGGAGGGCAGGCTGGTAAAGGTGGTGAGGCAGGCTGCACAGGCGGAGTGGCAGGGCTGGTGGCTTGACTGGTGGGGGGGCACGCAGGCGATGGTGCTGATGACGTTGGAAGGAGGAGAGGAGGAGGGGCGGGTGGCAGAGCGAGGAGGGGGAGGGTGGAAGCGGGGGGGTGCAGGGGCTGAGAGGCGCGGGACGGAGGAGAGGCGCGATGACATGCGGGAGCAGTGTGGTGCAGGCATGGCGAGGGGGATACAAGGCGAGCAGCAGGCACGTGGGGGAGCGAGGAGGCGAGGTGGTGGAAGGCGGCCCGCCACGCGTCCACCTCCCTCTGGAGCTCGCCCAGCTGAGGGGGACAAGGGGGAAGGGAGAAGAGAGTAATGGTAAACGGGATCGTGGGGAGGGAAGGTGGAGAGGTGTTGGGTGCAAAGGATGAGAGGGCTGACTGGGAGTTGAGGCAATGGTGGCACAACTCACACGCAGCGCACTGCACTCCCCATACACACACAATGCCTCTCACCTTGTGCCTTAACTGCTCTGCTGTCTCTGTGTCCGCCCCCGTTGCCCCACCTGCTTCTGATTGCCCATCATTCCTACCCCCTCCCTGCACTTGCTCCTCCTCCTCCCAGCCCCTTCCTTGCTCCGCCACTGCACCACCCTCAATCTCCCCTTCTCGCCCCGCCTCGATCCCTTCCTCTCCTCCTGCACCGTCCGTCGCCCCGCTTGTCACCGGCATGCACCCAGCCCACCAATGGCTGCTGCCATCATCGCTGGTGTGCGTGGGGCCTTGAGGCATGGCCGGGCTGGCAGCGGTAATGGCAGGGAGAGGCCGTAGCAAAACAGGTGTTGCCCCATCTAGGGGTACAGGCGCGTCAGCAGATGCTTCAGGTGGCGCTGCTGGCTCGGGCACAGCCACAGGTGCAGGTGCAACGTCAGATACAAAATCAAGTGCAGGTTCCGGCTCAAGTGCAGGTGACAGAGGTTCAAGTGCAGGAACCATGGGTGGGTCAAGCACAGAGACAGCCACAGGCGATTCTGCAGCCTCACTTTCACTCCACCCCTCCCCGTCTTCCCATCCCCCATCGTCCCCTACCTTCCCCACGCCTCCCTGCATCGGTTCCAACCCTCTACCATCTTCCAGCAGCGGCGGCGGCAGCAGCGGGTGGGGCAGCAGAGGAGGCAGCGGCGGCTGGTGGCAGAGGATGTCATGGAGCAGCACGGAGCCCAGCGAGTGGCCGAACACCGACACACGCCCGCTGAACAGCGGATTGCGCCTCTTGAACTTGCGGTACAGCCGGTTCAATGAGGATGTTAGCTGCGAGGGGAAAAGATAGGAGGGGAGGGGGTGATGTGAGAATGAGAGGAAGAGAGGAGGAATGGCAGAGGGTGACAAATTGATGGGTGAAGGCTGGCAAGTGGACCAGATGCCCGGCAGGCGAAGGTCACAGAGGCGGTGAGATGAGGCTGGATTCGAGAGGCAGATGCCGGACACTGGCAGCAGTGACAACACCCAGAGCAGCAGGGTGCGTGTGCAGTGCAGTGCGGTGCAGGCGCTGACCGAGTGGATGATGGTCTGGCAGTAGGCGGGGCTCATGTAGTAGAGCACATCATGCACCGTGGCGCTCACTGCGTCCCTCAGCGCCCTCACGCCCTCCAGCGTTATCCCCTCCACCACCGCCTCCGATGCCAGCGCCATGCCCCTCCTCCACTGCCACCCGGGCGTGCACACACACACATGCACATGCGGGGAGAGAGGGGAGTGGAAGGCAGGGAGGTGGACAGTGAGGGAGAAGAGAGATGAGGGGAAACGCGGCAGACAGTGTTTAGAGGCTGCATCATGAAGAGAAACACGGGTGTGAGGAGCGATGGTGGCTCGGTTGGTAGGGAGAGAGGGGGGCACCTGGCAGGGGATGAAGAGGCAGCGCTGCTGCAGGCGCTGGTGGGCGGTGAGGTGCGAGTGGCTGAGCTGTGCTGCGTGGTGGCGGAAGGCCGTGACGTCATCCACCAGGTGCGCTGACTCCAGGCGCTGCCCCACCCCGTGCACCATGAACACCACGTGCTGCACTGGCACCTGGTGGGGGGAGGGGAGGGGAGGGGGAGTGAGGTGTGGGAAAGGTGGGAGTTTCTTTGAGGCGCCTCAAAAGTTGCTGCCCCACCCCGTGCACCATCAACACCACGTGCTGCACTGGCACCTGGTGGAGAGGTGGGGGGAAAGGGGTGGACGGGAGGGGAATGGGAAGGCGGAAGTTGGCTAGAACTGAAGCATGGGGTAAGCTTATCCAACCATGAAATACATGCCATACATGCCATAGACATACCATCCATGCCATACACATGCAGCACCAATTCCACCCACCATGGAGCAATAGTCATCCAGCTCCTCCTCCTTCACCTGCTGCTCGTCCTCCTGCTGCCACGCAGCGAGAGACAGGGGGAGAGAGGGGGGGGTCAAAGTGGGGCCAGGCACGGCCAGAACAAGGTGGCACAGATGGAAAGAACGGGAAGTGCAAGTGTTGTGGAGAAGAAGGTTGACTAGATGGGTTGGCTGCACCGCACTGCGGTAAGAGGAACAGTTCAACAGCTCCTTCCACGTCCACCTCGCACTCACCTGAGCGGCGGGCGTGGAGGCGGGAGGCAGGAAGCCCCTGCGCAGGGCCATGGCGTGCAGTGGCGAGGAGAAGAGCCGCGTTCCTTCGACCAACAGCTGCGCTTGCCAGCTGCTGTCGTCCCCCGTGAACAGTGCGCTCACTCCCTGACATTGGGGCAGGGGGTGGTGAGAGGTGGGAGGGTGCGAGGAAGTGAGAGCATGAGGGGGTCAGGCATACAGATGGTTGAGTACGTTGAGAAGCAGTGCCAGTCTACCATGCACATGCACACATGTAAACCCCAGGACAGAACAGTAAGCTCTCTTCCTGCTCGCCACACCCCATACCCACCCATGTGCAGCGGTCAGCACTCACCTCGCCGGCGCCAGCAATGGGCACTCTAGCGGCGAACAGCCCTGACGGCTGGAACCACCGCCGCCGCCACACCTGCACAGCACAGGGAGACACGCAGATGGAAGGGTTGAAAGCGGTGGAAGAGGGTCCAGGAAGCAGGGAGGCAAGAGAGCGAGTGACAAATAATAAGAGGGATGGAATGAGCTTGATTCCACCCTCTCTCCTCCCTCCCTTATCTCCCGTTCTCCCCTTCCTGCTCACCCGCCTCCTGTACGCCTCCTCCAGCTGCTCTGCCACGTCCTCCCTCAGCGGCTGCCACGTCAGCTGTGCCGCCCGCTTGCCGAACCACAGCCCGCGCAGCACACGGCGGTCCTCCCCCTCCCAGTACACCGCATACGACCGCCTCCGACCCAGGTCCACCTGGGGGCGAGGGCGAGAGAGGGAGGCGGGAAAGGTTGGGGGAAGAGAGGGAGGGAGGGATGGTAGATAAGCATGGAGAGAGGGATCGTTGCTTGCCAAGGCACACGACTGATGTGAGTGCACGAGGAACAGCACAGTGGGCACATGCAGTGTGCAGTGCACACCAAGAGGGCAGGCAGGGAACGCACCTCATAGAGCCCGCCCTTCACCGCCACCCCCATCGGCTCCTCCTCGCCCTCCTCACTCTCCCCCTCACTCTCATCCTCGCCCTCTCCCCCCTCCCCCTCCTCCTCCTCTTGTCTCTCTGCATCGCCTGCCTTGTCATCGTCCCACGCTCCCCCCTCACCACCACCCCTCGCCCTCCCCCTATCGCCCTTCCTCTCCGCCTCCTCTGCCCCCCTTCCCCCGTCCCCCTCCTCCCCTTCCGCCCTCTCCCCCTCCACGTCCGCCCACAGCCCTTCGCCATTCTCCAGCCCCCCCTCGTGTCGCCTAGCCTCCTGCCTCCTCCATTCCCTCATCCTCTCCTTTGCCATTTCGCGTTCCCTCTCCTTCTCCCTCTCCTCCCTCTCCCTCTCCTTCTCCCTCTCCCTCTCCTGCTCCCTCTCCCTCTCTTGCCTCTCCGCTTCCCTCTCCCGCCCTCGTCCCCACCCTCCGCGCCGCCGTCTCCTGCTCCTGAGGGGAGCGGCGATCTGCCACGGACGGATGCGATCGGTCGACAGCAGAGGGGCCACCAATGGCAGCACGCCACCTGGCGCGGGCCCCACTGCCGCGTCAGCATACTCCTTCCACCACAGCGTGAGCAGCTCCTCCTCGCGCTGACGTGGCGTGGCATGGCGTGGCGTGCAGGGGTGGGGTGGGATGGGATGGGGGCAGAGAGTGGTGAGGTGCGGTGCAGCATGGAAAACCCAGGCCAAAGGATGACAAGGGCCCTGATGCAAGCGCTTGAATGAAGAGCGCATGCAACGGATTCACCTGGCGGAAGGCGGTCTCGAGGGCGTGTGAGTCGCGCGCACTGAAGCGCAGAAAGTCAGCTGAGGAGGCCACTATGGCGTGTGGCACCGCTGCTGCCACCGCTGCTCCCATGCCCACAGACACACACACACGTCGACACACACAGAGTAAGAGAGAGCAGGGGGGGAGGGGGCAGGGAAGATAGAAAGTTATGTGAAAGCATGAGCGCACAGCATGCATTAAGCACAGCCCCATACGGTCTCACATGCCCACTCCACCCATCCCACTGCGACCCTCCTTTTCCCCTTGCGCCCACTCCCTTGTGCTGCGCCTACCGCCCAACCCCCCCTCACCCACCCCTCTCCCCCCCCATGGCAGTGCGCTCACCGCCCTTGACTAGGTGCCCCTTGCTGAAGTACCAGCGCACCTCCCCCCCGTCCGACGGGCTCCGCGTGCCCCCCGCCGCGCTGCCCCCCGCGCATCCCGCGCAGGAGCACCCCGCGCAGGTGTGCGCGGAGGAGAAGGAGGAGAGGGAGCGGAGCGAGGGGAGGGACTGCAGCGAGGGGATGGCGGGGAGATGCAGCGCGGAGGACGCGGGGGACGAGAGCGCGGAGCGCGGGAGCGAGGAGGAGACGGAGGAGGAGGCGCGGGAGAGCTGGGGGAGGTTACTGAGGGGAGGCGGGTGGCGCGCATGGTGGGGCGCGGAGTGGCGCGCGGAGAGCGGAGGGGAGAGAGTGCGGGCAGCGCCGGCAGCGGCAGCGGCCGCGTGGGAGGGGCGCAGAGGGGAATTCGCGCCGGCGAGGGGCAGGGAGGGCTGGCGGGGTGGGGCGCCAGCAGCGGTGGCGTCATGCGACGTCGCCATCATGCTGCGCGATGCCATGCGACGTCACTAGCCTGCCATGCGATTCCAGCCAATTGCCACGGGGCTTTGGGTCAGCGCGAGCGGCTGCACGCGGAATCCCTCTTAGCTAAGTTGCCTCTCCAGCGCCGCCAATTCAAGCGGCGGCTGGGTTGCGGAAGAGCGGCGCGAGAAGGCGGCGCGCGCCGACGGGTGTGGAGCGGCGGGCGAGGAGCGCGAGAAGACGCGGCACAAGAGAGCAGCGTGGGCGCACGCAATCAGAAGTGGTGGTTGTGGTGATTCATGAGCAGCGGTGCGATGCGAGCGAGCAACGGCGAGAATGAAAGGCGCTGTGGTGTGGATGCGATCAGTGATCGCGTTGTGTGCGTGTGATGGTATGACAAGACATGGCATGGTATGGGTGGTGCAGCGACAAGCAGGCGGGGCACACGATGAAGTGCCCTTTCACGAATGGCCAGGGATGGATGCACACGTCAGCCTCGGGCAAATCGACGTGGGGCCAACGGCCTTGTGGCGAATTCGATTTTAGCGCCAACCTTGATAATTATTAGAATAAAAGCATTACATGAAATGGTCTATAAATTTCCCTAGTGTTGGGTTTGCACATTATCTATTCCTTCCAAAAAAGGACGTGATTTTTCTATCGCCTGGTTGGGCTTTAAGCGCCTTTTTGCCCCGTTGGTTTGAATTCGCAGAGCCCGGCTTCCCAGTGCTGGTTGGTGTGGATGCGGACATCTGAGAGACGACATGCACGACAGGAGAGAGGAGTTAGACGGCACGGCAAAGAAATACAATCACGGTGAGGCGGGGCGCAGCAAGGAGACAACGGCATCGTGGCTACAAGCAGAGAGAGCACACAAGACAAGTTGCAGGAGAGCAGCCTAGGTGTACCGTACGGCACCTTGGGTTGAGTGGCAGTAGTGGCAGGTGGGCTGGCCAGGCGTTGCCCCCCTTGATGGCTCTGCTTCACCTCGCCCTCCCTGCCCCACGCATGGCACACAGCAGCCAGCGGCACATGCAGGGTGGAGGGCGCGTGTGGAGGGGGTGGGTGGGGGAGGAGATAGGGACAGAGGGTGGCATGCAGAGGTGTGAGAGGAGAGAGAGGACGGTATGGCAACAGAAGGGAAGCGTGTGAAGAGGCCATGTGAGGGGCGTCTGACCTGATGGCGAGGTGGCGGCAGAGGGCAGCGTGGAAGGAGGCGGGCAGATACTCGCCCAGCAGCCCCACCGCGTATGCCTCTGCGTGCGCAAGGGGGGAGGAGAAGGTGAGGGGGGATGTGTGGGGTGTGGTGAGGAGAGAAGCAGCAGCAAGATGCACAGCGGGCCCGATGAGAAGCTGGCTTGATTTGTGGGAGAGAAGTTGTGGAGAACAGTCACGTGGGCATGCAGCAGGGAGGACAGCACGGCCCCCAGCCACCCAGACACCCAGGCAGGCAGGCAGGCACCCACCCAGGTCGGGGTCTGGCAGCCCTCTCACCGGCGCCTCCCCATGCTGCCTCAGCGCTGCCTTGAGCGCCGCCACCTGGTGCCGTGCGGGCGGGGGTGGTGCAGGTTGGGGAGGGGGGCAGAAGAGGAGCCGATTGGAGAGCAGGGCGCAGAGAATGTGGATGTCATGGCAGCAGCAGCAGATGCGGGGCGGTTGAATGGCTTACCCTCCACTCACCTTGCATGTGAGCCACGCCAACACCCGGCTGTCATTCAGCCTGTAGAACCGTGTGCTGCCCACCTCTGCAGCACCGCACAGCATCACACCGGGTAGCACAGACACACATGAAAGGAACAGTTGGTGTGGGAAGGCAACAGGCAGGGATGGAAGTCAACGTGGACGACATGTGAGCCGTGGGACGTGAGAGGCATGAGAGGGGCATGAGAGGGGCATGAGAGGGGCATGAGAGGGGCATGAGAGGGGCATGAGAGGGGCATGAGAGGGGCATGAGAGGGGCATGAGAGGGGCATGAGAGGGGCATGAGAGGGGCATGAGAGGGGCATGAGAGGGGCATGAGAGGGGCATGAGAGGGGCATGAGAGGGGCATGAGAGGGGCATGAGAGGGGCATGAGAGGGGCATGAGAGGGGCATGTGAGGGGCATGAGAGGGGCATGAGAGGGGCATGAGAGGGGCATGAGAGGGGCATGAGAGGGGCATGAGAGGGGCATGAGAGGGGCATGAGAGGGGCATGAGAGGGGCATGAGAGGGGCATGAGAGGGGCATGAGAGGGGCATGAGAGGGGCATGAGAGGGGCATGAGAGGGGCATGAGAGGGGCATGAGAGGGGCATGAGAGGGGCATGAGAGGGGCATGAGAGGGGCATGAGAGGGGCATGAGAGGGGCATGAGAGGGGCATGAGAGGGGCATGAGAGGGGCATGAGAGGGGCATGAGAGGGGCATGAGAGGGGCATGAGAGGGGCATGAGAGGGGCATGAGAGGGGCATGAGAGGGGCATGAGAGGGGCATGAGAGGGGCATGAGAGGGGCATGAGAGGGGCATGAGAGGGGCATGAGAGGGGCATGAGAGGGGCATGAGAGGGGCATGAGAGGGGCATGAGAGGGGCATGAGAGGGGCATGAGAGGGGCATGAGAGGGGCATGAGAGGGGCATGAGAGGGGCATGAGAGGGGCATGAGAGGGGCATGAGAGGGGCATGAGAGGGGCATGAGAGGGGCATGAGAGGGGCATGAGAGGGGCATGAGAGGGGCATGAGAGGGGCATGAGAGGGGCATGAGAGGGGCATGAGAGGGGCATGAGAGGGGCATGAGAGGGGCATGAGAGGGGCATGAGAGGGGCATGAGAGGGGCATGAGAGGGGCATGAGAGGGGCATGAGAGGGGCATGAGAGGGGCATGAGAGGGGCATGAGAGGGGCATGAGAGGGGCATGAGAGGGGCATGAGAGGGGCATGAGAGGGGCATGAGAGGGGCATGAGAGGGGCATGAGAGGGGCATGAGAGGGGCATGAGAGGGGCATGAGAGGGGCATGAGAGGGGCATGAGAGGGGCATGCAAGGGCGGGGGGCACCTCTGATGTCGGTGATGAGAGGGAGAACGGGATCCCACACTCCCTGTGACTGCAGCCAGCCGTAGGATGGGAATCCATCAACGGTGCAGATCTCATCCAGTGATCTGAACATTCCTTCACTGTCTGACCCCTCCTTCTGCAGCGTGTGTGTAGCATGGAGGTGAAGCACTGGGGTGAGCAAGACACGGCAGGTGCAAGGGGTCATATTCTTCCTCCCACACGTCAAGGCTCAGTGCAAGGTGCGGGGTGCAGCACCATAGATGCAACGAGAGGGTGATGCCACGTGGATATGAGTGCCTGCGCTGGATGAATGGCTCAGGTGGGTGAGAGGGAGGGGTGGGTGACATGGAGAGGTGGGTGAGAGGGAGGAGTGGGTGTGTGGGAGTACCTTCATCCTGCTCTTATCGAGGATGGGCAGGAGCAGGAAGGCAGCATCAATGGGCGTCGCCATGAATAGACTGCCATCTGCCACCACATGCCATGCCATGCCATGCCATGCCATGCCATGCCATGCCAAGCCATGCCATGCCATGCCATGCCATACAGACAAAGATGTGAACACGTCCCCAGCCACCATGCTCCAGACATGGGACGCATGGAAGCAGTGAAGCAGCAGAGCGGGATCCATGTGTGTCTGTCTGCCACTCCCTGCCATCACACCATCACACCATCACACCCATCACACCCATCACTGCCTCTGTGTCCCCACCTAGCCCTTACCATCCCCATTGCCCCATGTACCCACCCATGCACCATGTACCCACCCATTGCCCCATGTACCCACCCATGCACCATGTACCCACCCATTGCCCCATGTACCCACCCATGCACCATGTACCCACCCATGCACCATGTACCCACCCATGCACCATGTACCCACCCATTGCCCCATGTACCCACCCATGCACCATGTACCCACCCATGCCCCATGTACCCACCCATGCCCCATGTACCCACCCATTGCCCCATGTACCCACCCATGCCCCATGTACCCACCCATGCCCCATGCACCCACCCATGCCCCATGCACAGCACCTTGGAGCACGGAGTCCCCCAGCAGCCACGAGGAGAGCGCGTCTTTGAACCACGCCACCTCCAACACCGCCTCGCCCTGCTGCATGTAGCACGCCGCCGCCCCTGCTCGCATGCACGCACGCACGCACGCACACGCATGGGGCAGGGGGGGATGGGGCAGGGGGGGATGGGGCAGGGCGCACGTGCGCACAGGGGCACGATGGATGCGATGTGAGCGCATGGCGCATGGCGCATGGCGCATGGCGAGACTACCTGCTGGCACATTCCCCCTCGCATCCCCTCCCATCCCAACGGCCACACGCGACCCTACTCCCCACGCGCCATCGCGCCCCCGCCAGCGACGCGCCTGTTTTCGGGTGCGCCAGATGCAGCACGTGCTGCCGCCCGCCCCCCGCGCGATCCCCCATGGCCGCCCCGCGGGGGGAGCCGCCGTCGCCCATAATCAGCACCCGCCTCTCCGCCGCGCCCGCCATGCGCCGCCGCGATCGCGCTGACCGCCGCAATTGTTGCGATCCCTGCGAGCGCTCTGATTTGTGCGATCAGCGCGCAGCGAATGCGACGGTGTGAGATCAGAGAATGGCTAGCGCTGCGATCGCTCTGAACGGCTATGTCAGAGAAGCGGCGAGACGAGTGGTGGGAATGAAGGGGGAAGATCGATTAGCGGGAGAGAATGGTGGTGGGCGGGAAGGAGTAAGAACAAATTGATCAAAGCCTAAACTCGCAACTTGCAACTCCAAACTCTCATTTTGAGTCTCCCGCCACACTCAAATCGATACTCCTCTCTCCCATGCATCATGCCCCCCACGCTAGCGCCGCCGCCGGCGCCGCAGTGCTCGGCTAGCCTCGCGTCTCGTCGCCGCCCCCCACCCGCCGCCAGTAGATCGCGGCTCGCCGCCCCTTCGCAACCGCGCGCATCTCCCGTCTCCTCATCCGCTGCGCCTTCCGCCGCTCGTTCCGCCACCGCGCATCCCCATGGCTCCCGTCGCTCCGCGCTCAGACCCGTTCCCGCCTCCACCGCGCGCGCATCGACTCGGCGCGCATTGACCTCCCCCGTGGTCCTTGACGTCCCTTCGCAGCGCGCCTCGCCGGCAGCGTGCCGTGCCGCTGCCGCCAGTGCTGCGGATGGCGCTGACGTGGCAGGGCGGCTGAGCGCGGAGGAGCGCGAGGCGGTGGGCAGTGCTGACGTGGCGATCATAACGAACGGGCCGGGCGAGGTGGCAGCGTGGGTGGCGCCCGTCGTGGCGTCGCTGGCGCGCCTGTTCGGCCCCGACCCGCGCCGCCTCCGCGTCTCCGTGCGCCCCTTCCCCCAACCCCCCCCGCGCCATGCGCCTACCATGCACGAACCCCGGCTTCCTTCGTCACCTCGTCCCATTAGAACGCTCCTCCTCGTTCCCACTCACTCCCCGCTTCCCGCTCCCCGCTCCCCGCGCCCTGCCATTCCCCCCAATTCCCCCCTCTGAGCCTCCCCCTCCGCCCCTCCGCTTCCCCCTCCGCCCCCCCCCAGGTGCTGCTGGCGCCGTGTCCACATGCGTCGGGCAACGAGCTGGCGGTGCTGCGCGCCATGCCGGGCGTGCACCGCTGCACGGTGCGCGCACAGGGGGGGGGGAGAGGGCATGCAAAGAGGGGGGGCGCGGGTGCAGGGCAGTGTGGGTGGACATGCTTTGAGATAGAGGGCCTGGGATTGCTGCAATGCAACCACATGCACGTTCCACACCCACCGCACCGCCTACCCCTATGCCATGCCCCATATGCCTCATGCTCCATCCGCCATACCGTACCCCATGCCTCGTGCACGCTGCATTCCGCTACCACGCCATGCCCTGGAACCCCCACTCGCACCCCCCCCCACCCCCTCCCCACACGCCCCCCTCTCCCCACCAGGGCCCCCAAGGTTTCTTCCACATGCTGCTCTTCACTCGCCCTGCTGCCGCCGCTGGGGGCCAGCACACGGGCGGGGAGAGAGGGGAGGGGGAATCCTCTGGGCGGAGAACAGACGACCAGCAGCGGCACCAAGGGGAGGGGGAGGAGAGGAATGGGGAGGGGGAGGGGGAGTGGGGGTGGCGGAGGCGGGGCGTGGTGGTGTTTCTGGGCGGCGAGCAGGTGAATGCGGTGGTGCTGGCTTGGCGCCTGGGGTACCGCTGCCTCGTGTACTCCGAGGATGCTGCTCGCTGGCCCTGGTGGGTTCACGTCCGCGCTTGGGAGGTGGGGAGGCAGGTCGTGTGCCAGATGCTTTGGCAGATAGCGAAGGTGGGTGTGGCAGCGGGGTGGTGGGGTGGTGTTGATTGATCGAATCTTACTTCCCCTCCCCCACCCCCCCTTTCCACCTCAACACCCCTCCCCTTCCCCCCCCCCAGGCTGGTGGACATGAGTGCGCTGCGCTCGCCTGTGCTGCTGCCCGCCATCCCGCCCGCCCTGCTGGCCGCCCGCCGCGCCCGCGTGGTGGGAGACCTCTTCCTCTCCGCCGTGGCGCAGGGGGTGCACGGGGGGCAGGGGGCGAGGGGCGCGCAGGGGGGAAGGGGGGAGGAGGGGCGGAGAGGGGAGGAGGGGCGGGGAAGCAGAGGAGAGGGGGAGGGTGAGGAGCGTGAGGTGGTGGTGGGGCTGCTGCCTGGAAGCAAGGTGAGCGTGCGACCATGAGGACTTTGCCACTTGGATCATTCGTGAGCTCGAGTGTGTACGCCCATGCATGCATGCCCACACGTGTATATGCCACACTCATGCACGTGTGTGTATCCGTGCGCCCTGTGTCGTGCCATGCCATACACGCTCACCCCCTGTGGCACATGTTCGGTGGTGGCAGGATGTGAAGCTGATGGTGGGAGTGCCCTTCTTCTTCTCCGTCGCACATGCTCTCAACAAGACCTGCTCCCACAGGTGAGCCACCACGTGGGCAAGCGGGTCACCACCACCCGCAGCCATCACCTCCCGCTTCTCTCTTCACTCCCATCCATTCCTTCCTCGTCCATCCTTTCCCTCAGCGCCCCCCTTCCCCGCTTTCCCCCAGCGCCCCCCTTCCCCGCTTTCCCCCAGCGCCCCCCTTCCCCGCTTTCCCCCAGCGCCCCCCTTCCCCGCTTTCCCCCAGCGCCCCCCTTCCCCGCTTTCCCCCAGCGCCCCCCTTCCCCGCTTTCCCCCAGCGCCCCCCTTCCCCGCTTTCCCCCAGCGCCCCCCTTCCCCGCTTTCCCCCAGCGCCCCCCACATGCGCTTCATCCTGCCGCTGGCCCCCACGGTGCAGCCGGCGTCGCTGGCGCGCTTTGCCGCGCGGCGCCACAACGCGCTCATCGCCCGCCACGCCTGGCTGCCCGCGCGCCTGCTGCCGCCCTCTGCCACTGCTGCACCGCCCTCTCCGCCAGGGGGAGGGGCGGGGGTCGGGTGGGAGTACTTGGGGAGACTGGTTGCCGGGGAGGGGGATGGGGAGGGGGGAGACAAGAGAGGGGATGAAGGGGAGGAGGGGAGGGAGGGAGGGGAGGGGGCGAGGGGGGGTGAGGGAGTGGAGGTAGAGGTGTGGAGGGCGTTTCCCTCGTATTCTCTGCTCTTGCAGTGCTCCCTCGCCCTCACCACTGTGAGCACGCTTCATGTGCTACTTTGGCATCGCCTAACGCCCGCCTCATGCCATACCAAGGCTGCTGTGCTCGCCACATCACTTTCTGCTGTGATCCTTTGCTTTGTGATTGGCCCGCAATCTATGTGACTGACATGTGGCATGGGTTACGTGGCATGGCAGGTGGGCACCAACACTGCTGAGCTGGCAGCATTGGGAGTGCCCATGGTGGTCGTCCTGCCCACTCTCTCACTTGAGGTGCGTCCGTGAGTTACATGCACCAGCTTTACTACCGGGTGATGCCCACTCGATATGACTTGCCTGTCAACGCACTGCGTTGTCCCTCCTATGCTGCTCCCTCCACACTCCACCCTCTGTGCCTTCTTGCTGCGGCCCTTCCTTGCATCACCACTACCACTCCATATCACACCTTTCCACCCTCTCCTCGTCCCATCCTCTTTCCACGTCAGTTGTTCCAAGGGGGGGCAGGGGGCGTGTTGGGGCTGCTGCCGGCACTGCTGCCAGCGGGCCCAGCAGCAGCGCTCACTCGCTTCCTCAACGCCTCGCTGCTCCGCTCGCTGCCCTTCCTCGCCTGGCCCAACCGGTACCCCCCATCTCCTCGCCCCTCACCTCTTACCCCTCTGCCTTGCTGCTGCTTATGGCCTCTCCTGCTTCATACCTCCACCCCTCACCTTGCCATCCCCATTGCCAACCCTCACAACACTTCCGTCCATCACACCTTGCACTGTCTCCCCACGCCCACCCAAGAATCATATTCCTCAACCATCCCTTTTCCCACCTTCACCCACCCACTCATGCCCCCCTATGCAGGTGGGCGGGGCGGGAGGTGGTGCCGGAGGTGGTGGGGGAGGTGGGGCCGGGGGAGGTGGCAGCGGTGGCAGCACGCCTGCTGGGGGACGCGGCTGCACTGGAGGCCATGGGGAGCGCGCTCAGGCAGGTGGCAAGCGAGTATGGGGGGGGCAAGGGGAGTGCTGCTGGGGAAGGCGAGGGGGAGGGTGGGGGGAGTGATGGAGGGGAGCGTGGTGAGGGTGCAGCGGATGCGATCGCACATGAAGTGCTGAAGCTGCTTCTCATGTAGCATACCGTAGTAGCATGCTGCATAGGCGTCTGAGATGCATGACTGCTTTACCCTTGCTTGCTGCTCAGCTGGCAGCACGCTCATGTTTAGAGGCGTTTTCTAATAATCGCATTGCAATGTATTATGCGGAATTCATGCAAAAGTGGAGCTGGAGGTGTGCACCTGCATGTGTGAGGCCACAGAGTTGTGGTATGATCCAGAGGATAAGCATTGAACGTAAGTTATGTTCAAATAATAAGTATCACGGTTTTACACGCGGAGATCTCGAGTGGTCATCTCTGAACGTGCGCACGTGGCACCTTCTAACCATCCATTGCTGACATCAGCAGTCAGACAACCACAAACGGGCATTCACCAATCAACGCATACGCCCCTCGTGTTCACCTCTGCATCCACAACCCGCGTTACCAAGCACGCACCTTTCGCATTCGACTGCCTTGCTCACCGTCCCGCGCGCTGCCCCCGCCGCACTCGCCGTGCGCCGCACTGCTAATAAGTAACATTGCCAGACGCCATGGCGGCCCTCACCGTCGCCTCCTCTCTCCCCGCCCGCCTAGCTCCGCGCGCCGTCGCGCGCACCTCCGCTCCCGCGTCCTCCCGCGCCGACACTGGCGCATGCTGTCCGCCTATCCGCGCATCCAGTCTCCGCGTCCCCCGCACTCCTAAGACCATCACTCGGCAAACGCGGACTCCGCGATTGGTCGTTGCGGCCGCGGGCGACAGGGTGAGCCGTCATGTTGTGTCAGAATGTGTGGTCGAATTATCAAATGCGTAGATTTGCGACAGGCGCTGCTCGCGCGCCCATCTCCCCTCGTCCCTCGCGCCTTCCGCTCGTCCTGTTCGTTCTCGTTGCTCCCCCAGCGCTCCAATTCTCCCTCTCGTCCCGCGTCGCCATCTCTCGCTCGCCCCGCCATCCACCGAGTCTCCTCTCCGCGCGCGCAACAAACGCGCGCACTTCCCTCCCCCCCCCCCGCTCGTGCTTCCCTCCCCTGCTTCCCCCCTGTGCGCGCGCGCTGTGCGCGGGAGGGCAGGCGGCGGTGGACTGGGCGGCGGTGCGCACGACGGACCATCTGACGGTGGGCGACTGCATGTCGGCCGGCAAGCTCGTGTGCGCGCAGCCCTCCACCACCGTCGATCAAGGTCCGTGCAGCACCGTCGATCAAGGTCCGTGCAGCACCGTCGATCAAGGTCCGTGCAGCACCGTCGATCAAGGTCCGTGCAGCACCGTCGATCAAGGTCCGTGCAGCACCGTCGATCAAGGTCCGGTAACGTATGCAATATTTCACCAAGCGCAATGGAAACTCGGTGCTTGCTCTAAGTCGGCCCGACCTCTCGCCCTTGTTCTCCACTCCCTTCCGCGCCTCCCCCTTTCCCCGCCATCTCCCCGTTCTCCCCCTTCCACCCCCTTTCTCCCCCTCCCCCCTTCTTTCCCCCGCCTCCCCCCACCCCACCCCCCTTTGTGCGCGCAGCGCTGGAGCTGCTGGTGGAGCACCGCATCACAGGCATGCCCGTGGTGGACGCGGAGGGACGCCTGGTGAGGGGGGAGGGGGGGGGAAGAGGGGTGGGGGGTGAGAGGATGGGTGGTGGGGGAGGGGGGATGGATGTTGTGTTGTGCAGCATTCGTGATGCACACTTGTGTTCGCACGTTCACGCACACCACGCTCACATTTCACCAGATTCACACAATTTCCATCCGCTCCTCCTCACACCAGCACCGTCTCTCCCTCCATGCACGCGTGTGTGCGTGTGCGTGCATGTGTGTGCATGGCATGGCATGGCATGGCATGGCATGGTACGGCATGGCATGGCACGGCATGGCATGGTACGGCATGGCATGGCATGGCATGGCATGGCATGGCATGGCATGGCATGGCATGGCATGGTACGGCATGGCATGGCACGGCATGGCATGGTACGGCATGGCATGGCATGGCATGGCATGGCATGGTACGGCATGGCACGGCATGGCACGGCACGGCACGGCACGGCACGGCACGGCACGGCACGGCACGGCACGGCACGGCATGGCATGGCATGGCATGGCATGGCAGGTGGGCGTGGTGTCGGACTATGACCTCCTCGCCCTCGACTCCATCTCCGGTGCGCCCCTGCCCCGCCCCTCCTCTGCTCTGCTCTCCCCCCATCTTCTCTGCTCTCCCCGCCCCCCTTCTGCTCTCCCCGCCCCTCCACTGCTCTCCGCCTCTCCTCTCCTCTGCCCGCCACACCCTGTCGCCCCTCCTCTTCCCTGCCCGCCCCCCCCTGTTCTCTCTCCTTTTCCCCCTCACCTCTCTCACTGCGCTCTCACATCTCACACTCTCTTCGTTTTCCTCTCTCACTTCTTCCCCTCTCCACGCCTCTCACTCACAGCCCCTGCTATCCCAGCAACTACATTGCTAGTCGTGCCCCCCATGCCCATGGCACCTGCCATCTCTCTGTGCCCGCCTGCCCCCATGCACACGGCATGGCATGGCATGGCATGGCATGGCATGGCGTGCAGGTGTGGGGTCGTCGGGCCCGTCCTCCTCGCTCTTCCCCGAGGCTGGCAGCACGTGGAAGGTGCACCTCCCCCATCCCTTCACACCACCACCCACACCCTTCCCCTCCCCCGGGCCCTTCTCTCGCCCACTCACCCATGTGTTTCTGCCCACCACCCCTGTTCTGCTACTGCTGTGTCTCCTCCATTCTCACCGCACCTCGCCCTGCGCTCTCCCTTCACCACTCACGTCCCCCAGACGTACCATAACGTCTCCCCTTCCCTCCCTCTCCCCACCTTCCCATGTTCATCTCCCATCCCCCTCCTCCCACCTCCCATGTCCCCACGGCCACGGGCGCGCTCACGTGGCACGGCAGGCGTTCAGGGAGATTCAGAAGCTGCTGATAAAGACGCGGGGGCGGGTGGTGGCGGACGTCATGACGCCCCACCCGCACACCGTGCACCCCTCCACCAACCTCGACCAGGCCGCCAGGTCACACACACACCCTCCCACCGCCCACCACACTACCCTCCGCACTGCATCTTTGTCTGGCTGCACCCATGCCTCCCTGCACCCATGCCTCTCTGCCCCCACGCCTCCCTGCACCCATGCCTCTCTGCCCCCACGCCTCCCTGCACCCATGCCTCTCTGCCCCCACGCCTCCCTGCACCCATGCCTCTCTGCCCCCACGCCTCCCTGCACCCATGCCTCTCTGCCCCCACGCCTCCCTGCACCCATGCCTCTCTGCCCCCACGCCTCCCTGCACCCATGCCTCTCTGCCCCCACGCCTCCCTGCACCCATGCCTCTCTGCCCCCACGCCTCCCTGCACCCATGCCTCTCTGCCCCCACGCCTCCCTGCACCCATGCCTCTCTGCCCCCACGCCTCCCTGCACCCATGCCTCTCTGCCCCCACGCCTCCCTGCACCCATGCCTCTCTGCCCCCACGCCTCCCTGCACCCATGCCTCTCTGCCCCCACGCCTCCCTGCACCCATGCCTCTCTGCCCCCACGCCTCCCTGCACCCATGCCTCTCTGCCCCCACGCCTCCCTGCACCCATGCCTCTCTGCCCCCACGCCTCCCTGCACCCATGCCTCTCTGCCCCCACGCCTCCCTGCACCCATGCCTCTCTGCCCCCACGCCTCCCTGCACCCATGCCTCTCTGCCCCCACGCCTCCCTGCACCCATGCCTCTCTGCCCCCACGCCTCCCTGCACCCATGCCTCTCTGCCCCCACGCCTCCCTGCACCCATGCCTCTCTGCCCCCACGCCTCCCTGCACCCATGCCTCTCTGCCCCCACGCCTCCCTGCACCCATGCCTCTCTGCCCCCACGCCTCCCTGCACCCATGCCTCTCTGCCCCCACGCCTCCCTGCACCCATGCCTCTCTGCCCCCACGCCTCCCTGCACCCATGCCTCCCTGCACCCATGCCTCCCTGCACCCATGCCTCCCTGCACCCATGCCTCCCTGCACCCATGCCTCCCTGCACCCATGCCTCCCTGCACCCATGCCTCTCTGCCCCCACGCCTCCCTGCACCCATGCCTCTCTGCCCCCACGCCTCCCTGCACCCATGCCTCTCTGCCCCCACGCCTCCCTGCACCCATGCCTCTCTGCCCCCACGCCTCCCTGCACCCATGCCTCTCTGCCCCCACGCCTCCCTGCACCCATGCCTCTCTGCCCCCACGCCTCCCTGCACCCATGCCTCTCTGCCCCCACGCCTCCCTGCACCCATGCCTCTCTGCCCCCACGCCTCCCTGCACCCATGCCTCTCTGCCCCCACGCCTCCCTGCACCCATGCCTCTCTGCCCCCACGCCTCCCTGCACCCATGCCTCTCTGCCCCCACGCCTCCCTGCACCCATGCCTCTCTGCCCCCACGCCTCCCTGCACCCATGCCTCTCTGCCCCCACGCCTCCCTGCACCCATGCCTCTCTGCCCCCACGCCTCCCTGCACCCATGCCTCTCTGCCACCACGCCTCCCTGCACCCATGCCTCTCTGCCCCCACGCCTCCCTGCACCCATGCCTCTCTGCCCCCACGCCTCCCTGCACCCATGCCTCTCTGCCCCCACGCCTCCCTGCACCCATGCCTCTCTGCCCCCACGCCTCCCTGCACCCATGCCTCTCTGCCCCCACGCCTCCCTGCACCCATGCCTCTCTGCCCCCACGCCTCCCTGCACCCATGCCTCTCTGCCCCCACGCCTCCCTGCACCCATGCCTCTCTGCCCCCACGCCTCCCTGCACCCATGCCTCTCTGCCCCCACGCCTCCCTGCACCCATGCCTCTCTGCCCCCACGCCTCCCTGCACCCATGCCTCTCTGCCCCCACGCCTCCCTGCACCCATGCCTCTCTGCCCCCACGCCTCCCTGCACCCATGCCTCTCTGCCCCCACGCCTCCCTGCACCCATGCCTCTCTGCCCCCACGCCTCCCTGCACCCATGCCTCTCTGCCCCCACGCCTCCCTGCACCCATGCCTCCCTGCACCCATGCCTCCCTGCACCCATGCCTCCCTGCACCCATGCCTCCCTGCAC